AATAGAAGCCAGTAATGAAGCAGGGTAGTTTTTGGACTAGAACCAACAATCATGGCAAGGTCTGGGAGATGTGTGGCATCATGATTTGACTTACAAACTGTTTCATTCATGGGCCTCAGGGTACATTTAGAAAAAGATCATACAGTGTAGATGTGCAACTCTGTCTCCATCTGAGCAGCGACTGGTTCGACAGATGGCTTTGACTCTAGGAAGCCTGGCGGCTTCTGATTCTGTCAACCTGGAAAGAGAAACCCAGGAATGTGGGCCTTCGATGATAATCGCCTACCTTTCTCATAAACAAACAAGAATGCACACTAGGACACTACCAAGTGCCCAAACAATGAAGACTGGCCCAGCTTGTTTCCCACTCTCCTTGTGTTTTATTAGCGCAGTGCTGGATGGGGCTTTGCGCACTTCTTGAGCACATCCGGGGAAATACAATTGCCACTTGGGATGTGAAAAAGGACCCAGAGCAGACACTAGTCACCTACATGAGCCATTCAAATTCACCCGAAAAGCGAGTGCTGAGCCCTTTGAAAGAACAAAAAACCTTGACGAGAAAGGAAAGACCCTTTCAGGAAAAGATCCAAACAAATTCAGAAAGTGCTAAGCAGATACTGGAAAGGCCTAATGGTCAGCATTTTTTTGAGGGTCCATCGTTCTGTTCACTTTTTATTTATGATTTTGCTCATGTATTTTACCCCATGGATTCTGCTTAACAACTTGGTAAGATGGATTACTTCCCCACTCCTCCTTAACAAGTTGTCACAACATGGCAGCTTAAACATCAATATTCCTCACCAGCTCACAGTTCTACAGATCACAAGTCTAGGCACAACCGGAACCCCTAAAACTAAGCAGGTACCACATGGAGGCAATGGAAAAGGGCAATCATGACCAGCTTATCTTCTCTACTGTATTATATATAATTTCAAAAGATATTATTGTAAAGATTCCTAAAATAGAGTTGTAAATGTTTATTTTTAATGTGGCAAGATTACATTTTTTAAAAACTAAATTATACCTTTCTTGGTATGTGATTTTTATTTTGCTTGTGTTCATTACACCATTTTATTTCTCACTCTGAAAAGCAGTTTTGCTACAAGTCCATTTCTTTTTAACTTTTATCCACAGGGAAGTCATAATCCCTTACTTAAATAGAAGCCGGTAACCATGGAAATCATTCTAATGCCACTGAATCAATATTTTAACTTTGCTGACATTTAAGGTAAAAAGAAAAGACAAAGATTTGTAAAAGTCACTTTTTATCTTTGTTATAATTTTGATAGCCAGAAAAATTGTAAAGAAAACATATGCTCTGTAATGAACTCCAGTTAACTCATGATTATAAAGAACTAAGAATTTATAAAAGAACAATCTACATATTTATATAATTTTGGCTTTGAGTGCACACATATGAATGCATCTATTTGGACTCAAGACTTTTTCCCATCTCTGAACTGAGCCTTAATTTCTGTTGTTACAAAAGTCATGACTTGAAAGAAGAGATTGAACGTATCCAGTTTTGCAATTTCCTTCTTATTAAGTGTTCTGAAGAGAAGGTGAAATTTGCATTGAGAATCCCTCTTCAATAGAAATAGACCTTTTCTGCACCCGATTCTAACAGTCCATCTGGTCCACTGAGTATCCTTAAAGACACAGTACAGCTGAAGGCTCTTCAGCCCATGTTTAGAGCTCTGTTTGAAGACAGTGTTGAAGTTGGGCCTAGCATTTAATAAACCTCACTGCCCACCCAGTAATTTTCTAAGTCTAACTTACTGGTAAGTCTTTGCTGCTGCTGTCATTGTGACCTCTGAAGAAATGCAGGTAATGGAGCCTCTGTTCTGTTTGATAACTAGTTATTTGGAACCCTAGGTCCTTAGATGCTGAAGGGATCTGAAACAATTAGGAGCTTCTCTATCTCAGGAATTATTTACGGAGTGCATCCCAAATGAATGGTAATCAGTTCTATTTGTGAAGACAATTGAATCATGACTCAAATGTTTCTTCTAGGGGAAAATCATGATGACTCTCAGCTTGTTTTCACTATGAATACCCTGCCCTGAGGGGTCTGTTCTGAAGTGTGTATTTGACCCTGCTTCCAGGAATGTTTCTGGAGCTTATACTGCTTGATACCAGCTCCTTACTGGCTGTTTTCCTTGTCTGTTTCATCTCTTCCCTCCCCTTTGGCTGATTTTTTTATTCCCTTTTATTCTTGAACTAGAGGCCCGGTGCACAAAAATTTGTGCACTCGGGGCGGGGGGGGTCCCCCTCAGCCCGACCTGTGCCCTC